GTGTACAGGAAGTGCAGTAGAAGTACAGAGGAGAGATGAAGACTGGGGGAGTAAATGAAAAGTTCACCAAAGCCCTAGCCGGTTTGGCTGAGTGGATAGATGGTCTGCCTGTGGACCAAAGGGTCCCGGGTTTGATACTGGTCAAGGGCACATACCTTGGTTGCAGGCTCGCCCCTTGCCTGGGCCCTCCCTGGACGGGGCACATGCAGGAGGCAACCAATCGATGTGTTTCTCTCACATCAATGTTTCTGTCTTTCCCTTTCTCTTCTACTCTCCTTAAAAAAAAAAAATCAATGGAAAAATAGCCTCTGATGTGGATTAACAAAACAAAAAAGAGTTCACCAAAGATGTGACATTTAACCTGGGATTTAAAATTTAAGTCAGGCAGGAAAGAAGGGGCAGAAGAGCATTTAGGCAAAGGAACCAACATGTACAAAGGCAAAGACAGCATGAAACTGTTCTAACTACAGGGGGAAAGAAGTTAGTTCTATGTGAAGCCCAAGGCATGCTTTATGGGGAAGGGCAGGACTTGATGCTCCAAAAGTAGGTTGGTCCAGATGTAAAGGATTCTCTGTGTTGGGCAGAAGTTGGAACTTTTTCCTGATTGGAAAGCAATCAGAGATCTTTAAACACAGATGTGGCCTGTTGGTTTAGGGCTTCACCAAGATGCCCGGACAGAAACGTGAAGGGGAGTGGCAGGCCAGGTGAGCGGAGTGGCAGACCCATGGCAGTGTGGCTGGACTGGAAACCCACTGGAAAGATACACTTGGCAGAAATGAATGCACATTCAATCAAAAATGGTTGAATGTAGAGCAAAAGGGAAAGAGAACATCAGGCTGTAAACTGAGTATCTGGGTAGATATTTTCTCCAAAATCTTTTTAGTTGGAGAAGATCTAATTTACCTAACCTTTTAGACGAACTACTAAGCCACATGTTAACTCTCCAATGTACATATTCGTCATGTAAAAGAAATTTTGTCTAAAAGAAGCAGCCATCACCAAGCAGGCCCTTTGTTTGGACAAAGAGGCTTCTTGGTATTTGAAATCATGTCTACTCATCTGTCACACTCACACTGGTGGCCCTGTTCAGAGGGAAGTCCAGGCCCCGTGCAAGGCTGCTGGGGCGTTCCCTGCTTTTCCTTCCATGATCCCCAAAGCAGAGAGGAGGATGTCTTGGGGAAGCCGGGTTAAAAGATCCCTGGGGGCAGTGAGATGGTGATATATGTTGATGGTTCAGGGCAGCCTGCCACAGCCAAGCCACAACATTACATCGTGTGGGGAGTAGCCCTAAAAGCCAATGTTGCTGTCACGGTTCCATCTTAATTTTTATCAGCTGGATATGGATGAGGCTTCATGGTCGTATACTTAATGCTTTTGCTCAGATCTTTGGCTAACTGCTGTTTTTCCGTGACTTTTTGACAGTTATTTTTGTTCAATAATGAATAATAAAGTGAGATTTACCATCTGTGTATGACAGCATTTGTTTTATTTTGACATTTCTTTTCTGGACAGCAAAGGTTTTATAATTAGCTTTTCCCTCTGCCAAAAAACATTCTGAAAAACCATTTCCCTGAAAAAAATGTTTCATAGTTTCCTTTTTACTAGTTGCAGTCATCTTATTTGGATTTGGAAGTTTTTTTTAATAAGTCAGTCAGGAAATGACACAAGAAAATTTTCTTTTGAAAATTAATTCTTTACAAGAACAAAAATTAACTTTTGCCCAAAGAAAATTAGGAGAGAAAATGAGAAGAACTATGTTTGAAATGGTGGTGGTTCCATTATATTTTTAAGAATTTTTTATTGAGGTAAATTTGGTATATAACAATATATAAGTTGATATATATTATATAAAGTCGGTACATACCACTCTATAAGTTCCACTGTAATTCAACATCTGTATGCTCTACAAAGTAATCACCCCAAAAGACTAGTTACTATCTTTCAGCAATACTGTATATCCGTTTTCATTTATGTCAGACTTAAGTGAGCAATATAAGAAACCCCCTATTCTACCTTGTTTCAAATGAGCTTATTTGATTCTTGCTGTTACCCTGATCAGTTTTGTGTCCAACTCGTTGAAATACTGGGGAGACTGTGCTAAGACTGATGGACAGTGCCCTATTTTCAAAGGCCTAATAAGCCGCAGCCATCAGCCTGGCGCTGCCTGTGGAGACACAAGCCTCCCCACCCCACCCCACCCTGCCTACAAAGCTGAATTGCCCTCTTCACGCAGCCACGTCCACAGTTGGCTCTGTGACTGGGGAGCCGAGGAGAACAAGTTGCAGGTGTGTTAATTACCAGTGCTTTATCTCTGGAGGGCTCTAAAAAAAAAACAAAATGTGGAGGAAGCCACATTGATAACCAACGATAGAATGGCTTATCATTGCTAATGGCAAAAACATCACACTGAGCTAATGGCAAAAGCAGTCACACTCATTGCGCTGGCCCCCTCCCCTGATACTATGAGGAAACACCTTCCAGCTCCTACAGTAGCAGCGGTGGCCAAATTCTCTTTCCAGCCTGGAGTGTTTTCCTTTCCAAGTCATTCCTAAGGGCTGCTCCTAGAATCCGATTCCAGACGCAGCCGCCCTTACCCCATCATCTCCACTCTATTCCCACCACCATCATTATCCAACTTTTGTATTGAGCACTAACAAATATGTGCAACTGGAAGAGACATTTTGGAATCTCAAAAGTGCATCTATTTAAAATGGAGAAAACAGACATCTTCTACATTGAGCCAGTATCGTTTATAACAAGCCAGACAATAGAGCGAAATAACAGTGCTGTCTCAGCCATTCTTGCTCTCACGGGTAGAGTGTAAGCATTTCTATCTGGTATATTTCTGTATCATGAACACCACCTTCTTTTAAATTTTAATATGTTGGTTATGGGTCACATACTCTAGAAGTATAAGGAACATGGAGGAATCCCTTTGTCTAAAGATGGTGCCCACAGATCAGCTCATGTGAAATAGAATGTGTATTTAATGCACTGGCTTGGGTGACTGTTGGGGCCTTGGGCTTTTTAAAGAAGAGATATGAGGTTTGAGGAGAGGTTCTTGTGAGTCTGTGACAGCAGCTGAGATTGCTTGCCACCCACCAAGGTGTTGAAGAATTGCTACCTTCATCTCATCTAACTCGACTCTTCTCCCTCCCTTCACAAAGCAGAGAAGGATGGAGGACCAGGTGTGTGAAAGGCTAATTAGAAGCCACCTTGGCAGTAGATCCTTGAATTTCTTACCCACCAACAACAGCAATTCTCCTCCAAAGGGAACGACCGCCTTGAAAAAGCTCTCCTGCTCTATCACAGGAAGAGTGCACACTTGGCTGAGGTTGACTGCTTATGGTTTCATAGGGAAGGGAAGCTTTCTGTGGCCTAAGGTCTAAAACCCCCCTACGTCAAGAACGTCAGGAGCATGGCACTCTGGGAGCATGGTACCTGGAGATTCACACAGACCTTGTTTGAATCCTACATTTCCCAGTTATTGGTTTGGCCTTTTCACATCTCACTTTTTAAAGCAACAACATCATTATAACACTAGACTATTTGGGTTGTTAAAATATTAGCTACCATTTATTTAGTGCTTATATTGTGCCAGGTACTCAACCCAGCAATGATTATAAAAGGTGTCATTTACATTTTAGTCATGCAGTATGAGTCTCACTATAATACATGAGGTAGCAATTATTATCTGCACATTAAAGGTAAAAAAACACACAAAACTGAGACAGCCTATTGTCCCACCTCACACAGCTAGTGAGTGACTGACATCAAGCTTCCGGTCTGTCAGACTCCGGATTCTGTGAGAGATAATATGAAATTAAAATGGTGCCTGGTGCATAGTAGGTGCTTGCTTAACACATTAGTTCTCTTTCCTCCCATGTGCATCCTATGGCTTTGAAAGATCCTGATTTCTGTGTTAGATTTTTATTTGTAAGGTTCTGTAGAGCAGGTCTGTATTACTGCCCCCATGTGGTTCATTTGGATAACAGTGGTTTTTAAAAAAATGTTTAATTAAAGTAGTATAATATACATGCAAATAAGTGTTATTTAAAATAGGTCTCTAACGTCACCTAAGTGTGTGGATAGTTTTGAAGATAATATGATTCTACAACCTCACTACACAAGAAATACCACTTTTTATTTTCTACAGTCCAGCTTCATTTCTAATTGAGCCCTAACTGGCTGGTGGGATACTTAACCTCGGGCACACTTGCAGCTTCTCTCCAGGCCTCACCAAGGTCCTCCATTCCTTCAACTGTCTTGGAAGAAAACCCTTCTCTCTCCTGGCACAGCGCACGATGAAACTTTCTGTTTTGCCATCATCCTGTCGAGAAGAGAAGAATTCTTCTTGCAATTATTTTTTCCACCCGACTGCTCTGTTTACAGAGACATTTAGCCCACTGGAGAAATCTTCAACTTTCACACTTAAGAAAGAGTTCAAATCCCCAGGGAGTAGAGTGTTGGTTCAGTTACCAGTTTAAATGTGAGAAAACGTTTCCAAGAGGAAAATGAAAAGGTCCACTGTCCCCACCTATCAGGAGCTTTAAGTCGCTAAGTGAAACTCATTCACAGGTTTCATTTCATGTGCCAGGAGGGCTCCGCTTTCCTGGATTCATCCTCTTGTGTTACACCAAGCTGCAAGCATACACTTAAAACCCTATGCCTCAACTCTAATTGAAAAATAAAAAAATATTATTTACAAAAAACAACAACCCAATGCATTGATTAGCGCAGGGCTCCACCCCAAGCAGTCACCCTCAGGGGACATCTTTGTTTTTCAGTGGCCCTGTCCACAGAGGACTGATTGGTCTCCTGTCAGATCGGGTTATGTCTGTGTGATGGAGGGTAGTTTCAAGAGGGAAAAGGGTAGTTGGTACAGGAGAGGGTAAGGAGGAATTATCTTTTTTAGTTCTTAAGCACCCTTTATAACAACAAACACAGATGTCTTCCGTTCTTAAACATTGTCCTAATGCCAACATCTAATTATATTTCAGATAACGGCGGGCAGACTTTGGCCGGGGGCAATAACTGGCCCCTTCGAGGAAGAAAGTGGAGCCTGTGGGAAGGAGGCGTGCGAGGGGTGGGCTTCGTGGCCAGCCCCTTGCTGAAACGGAAGGGCGTGAAGAACCGGGAGCTCATCCACATTTCCGACTGGCTGCCAACTCTGGTGAAGCTGGCCGGGGGCAGCACGAATGGTACCAAACCTCTGGACGGCTTCGACGTGTGGAAAACCATCAGGTACCTGCGCATCTTTCCCCTTTTCCTCTCAGGACAGACCCTCCAAGAACAGTTCCACTCAGCTGAGTGAGAATGATAGCTTTTTGTGAAAATGATAGCTCAGTTTACAGATAAATGATTTTTAAAAAAGAAAGGCCTTTAGAAATATTGTAAATATTTTTTTCAGGTTTTTGACTCATAGACCTCTTTGAAACTAAAAGATGTGAACTTACAGGAAAAAGGTACCTAAACATATGCACAAAAATTTAGATAGCATTTATTTTTATGATATTAGACATTGGTTACACTTTCTTTCTATGTGATTGTCTGTTACGTTTTGTTGAGTCAGCTCTGACTCCTTACAAGTCTATGAATGAGTGATGTTCACAATGCTCTGTCCTCCACAGCCTAAGGCTTCTTTTATTGAATCAGTCCATCTTATATTTACTCTCCCTCTTTTCCTCGTGCCTTGTATTTTTGCACAGCATTATTGTCTTTTCCAAAGACCCTTGCTTTCTCATGATGTGCCCAAAGTAGAATAGCTTCAGTTTTGTCATTTTTGCCTCCACCAATGGTTCAGGTTTAATTTGCTGTAGGACCCACTAGTTTGTCTTTCAGATGGTCCAGAGCATCTGTAGACCTCTCCTCCAACATCAGATTTCAAGTGAATCATTTTTTTTTCCTATCAGCCTTCTTCACCGTCCAACTTTTGCATCCGTAGTACAATGGTATCGATGACCTTAGTCTTGGTCTCTCTCTAATTTTTCCTAATTCTTTCATTGCTGCCCTTGCAAGTCTCAGCCTTCTGTTGGTTTCACATAGAAAAATGTGAAAAACATTCTTTACAAACCTCTGCCTCTATCACTTATTTTTAATGCAAAATTAATACCTACTTTATGACAAAAAAGAAATAAAAATTCCCAAGCAGAGCAAAACTTGAACTTCAGCTCAGCTTATCACCAGCTTTCACCATGAAGGCTACTGAAGTTGGACTAAAAGAGTAGGAGGAAGTTTTGAGTGGATTTAATATGACAACATATTGTCATGCTTGACATCCAATCAGTTTTGATTTGTGTGTGTGTGTGTGACAAATGGGTTATAAAACCCAGCTTGCAAAAGCACACATGGAAAATGAAGTCAAAGCTCTGTAGCACACTTTGCCAAATGATGGTAGGCTTGAGTTGAGAAGTAGTTGAATTCATTTTGAATAATTTCCTCTGCCCCCAATTCACTGAGTTTATTTTCTTTGACAACGCCCAAGTCATTGATGTCAATCCATATCACCAAGTTGTGGATTGTAAGTCCACATGTCAGTCTTAAGATTCTCTTGATCAGAAGTAACCTTTGGCCCTTGTTTGCTTCTGCCTGCAGGAAATTTGGGAAAAGTTTAGTTCCTGAACTCCAGATTTGCAGAAAGTCTGACTTCAGTGTTAGAACACAGAACTCCTAGTGACCAGTCCCTTATAAACAGAGCTCTCCATTCTTGAGCAGGCCCAGTGTTACTGCAGGGCTTTACCCAGAAGGTGTGGTGAACAACCTTGTCCAAGCATGTTAAACCATGAGGAAGTACATGCTCCTTTTCTATGTTTAAAAAAAGTAAAATTGCTGCCCAATGTTTACTCAAGAATTTGAAGACTTTCCTCTGGAATTCCAGCAAATTTCCCGTTTATAGGTGAAGAACTGCTCTTATTATGCTCTCCTTTCTTGATAAAAAAGATCCTGAGAAAAATGAGGTAGCCCCCTAGCCTATGAAGTCGTTGCTTCCCACACCATCACAAGCCTTCCTTTAGTGTCAGTGGCAGAGCACCTGGCACCGGTACCCGCTGACCGAGAAAGCCATCGGTCAGATGGACATCTGGAGCCTCTTTTCTGAAGCCCCAGAAACACGTGGACAGCCAAATGCCAGAAACACATCATCTGTGCCCAGAGTTCTGCAAATTTTTTTCCAGTCACATATTTATTTGGAAATACCATATCCAAGATGATGGTAGTTGTTGAAAATTTCAAAAGGTCTGATGAAATAGGAATGCCAGTAATGGGTGAAAAATAGAGTTGGCTGTGCTGAGAGCACCAGGGTTTCACTAGTTGCCTAGTTATCAATTCCGCTTAGACCCGCTTTAAAATATTAAAAAGTTAGGAGAAATAGCAGTTCTGGAGTGAGTGACATTATTTGCAACAGAAGCTCTTTCAACTGCTTCCATTTCTTCCTGTTCCAAGCCACAGACCTTGTTTGTCATTTATAGGGGACATGACTTCTCCAAGCTCTTTCCAATTCCAATATTACCAACATGCCTTTTATTACATGCCTTTCCCATTCCTCAGTTCCTAATTTTAATTAATCTTTTGATTGGTTGGTTAATATTTTAAAGTAATTTTTAGTAAAGGTACACCAATAGTGAGTTCTTTTAGTCTTTGCATATGAAAAAATATCTATTACCTCCAAACATAAATAATAATTTGACAAACAATTCTTGTCAAATCTTTTCTCCTCAGTATTATATAGACATTGTTTTATTGTCTCTTTTTAAAAATATTGTTTTATTGATTCCAGAATATTGTTTTATTGATTCCAGGGAGAGGGAGAGAGAGAAACATCAATGATTAGAGAATCATTGATCTGCTGCCTCCTGCACACTCCCTACCAGAGATTGAGCCCACAATCTGGGGCATGTATGTGCCCTCACCAGGAATTGAAAGGTGACCTCCTGGTTCATAGGTCCACACCCAACCACTACCCCCGAAGGGCGCTTTATTGTCTTTTGATAAGTACTATTCTAGAAAAGTGTAACACATTTACCTGCAAACAAATTTTTTTTCCTTTATTCTTCTATCATTTCTTTTCTTTTTATTTTATCCATAGGAGGAGATGACTGTTAGCTGAACCTACTGTGGTAATCATTTCACAATGTATATAAATCAAATCATCATGCTGTATGCCTTAAGCTTATACAGCGACGCATGTCAATTATTTCTCAGTAAAACAAACAAACAAAAATGTTTGCCCGGCCAGCATAGCTCAGTGGTTGAGCATTGACCTATGGACCAGGAGGTCACAGTTTGATTCCCAGTCAGGGCACATGCTTGGGTTGTGGGCTCGATCCCCGGTGAGGGGCGTGCAGAAGGCAGTCAGTCAATGGTTCTTTCTTATCATTGATGTTTCTATCTCTCTCTCTCCTTCCCTCTTCCTCTCTAAAATCAATAAAAATATATTGTTAAAAAATGTTTAATCTTTTTTAAAATCTTAAAAAAGCTGACATTGCAATCTTGGTGCCAGACAAGTTAGAATTTATGTCAAAATTATTGATAAATAATATGATGGAAATGGTGAATATGGTGATTTCTTTTTACCCATGTATTTAGAAGTATGTTGTTGATTTCCAAATATTTCAGGTTTTCTCTATTGATATTTTTTATGTCTAGTTTAATTCTGTTTTGGTCAGGGAACATACTTATTATTTCAATTCATTTAAAATTAAGACTTGGGCCTTCATATGGTCTTTCTTGTTGTCTATGCCATGTGGACTGGAAAAGAATGTGTATTCTGTAATTTTTAGGTGCCGTATTAGGTTTATCTTTATGATCCAGTCAGAAAATGTTTTATTTCAGTAGATGAGTTTATATGCATTGCTATGACTGGCATTTTTATTCTTAGTTTTGTCTTATTATTTTGTGTTATATTTACTTTTATCTTTGATCTTTTGTTTGTTAGTTCTTTTAATATATGGAATGATGTATATTTTATTTCATTGTTACCATGATACTAACATCTTTATATAATCCTCTCAGTCCCTTTTTTAGTTAATCCTCACCCAAGGATAATTTTCCATTGATTTTTAGAGAGAGTGAAAAAGAGGGGGAGAGACAGAGAGAGAGAAACATCGATGTGAGAGAGACACATTGACTGGTTGCCTCCTGCACGCATCCCTACCAGGACTGGGGAATCTCACCTACCACCAAGGTACATGCCCTTGACCAGAATTGAACCTGGAACCCTTCAGTCCTCGGGCCATTGCTCTATCCACTGAGCAAACCAGCCATGGCTCAGTCCCTTTTTTAAAACTTAGGTTCTACTCTTTGGTTTGTCAGCTTAAAATGGCATCTTTGACTCTATAAGGAAATCAACTAGTTTATTCAACTTTACCCTTTCTCCCACCCTTTTCTGCCAGTTTTATTTTTAGTAGTATTAATTCTACTGTGTCAGAGCATATAATATATATAATATTGTCTTTCTATCCTTACCCACAATTTTGTTTTAGCCTCAGTTCTACAATATATTACATGCTAAGCACTCGTCCATTTCTAAAGTTTTCTCAATTATCTCTTAGTTGGAGGAATTCATTCTTTAATAGATTTCTCAGGATTCTTAGAATTTATGCATATCTATTAAAACATTTCTACAACCTTGAGAAATGATAAAGAGTTGAACTGATATAAAATTCTTATCTCAGACTGTCTTTCCTTGACTTCCTTGAAAATGTCACCTTACTCTTTACTTGTTTTGTATGTTGCTGTTGATAAGTTTAATGTCAACCTGATTTTATTTCCTTTGCAAGTGACTTGGTCCTTTTGCCGGGAGGCCCAGAAGATTTTTATTACCACTACTATTATTATTTAAAGCCTAAGACTTTTACTTGATATGCTTCAAAGGTAACCATGTTCCCAGTCAATATTTCCAGAAACGCATTGTACATTGATGTCTTTTATTTCAGAGATTTTTAAATTATAGTTTTAAATATTATGTTTTATTGTTTTGTGTTTCCTCTTCAGGAACTTCAATTATAGATATTATTTAATCTCATTTATATATTTTTTGTTTCTATCAATTTCCCTCTGGTCCTTTTTACTTTTTAATTTTTTTTTTAATTTGAATTATCTTCTCTGTTTTCATCTTTAGTCTCTATCTGCTTTTATACACCTTCAGTGTATATCCTATCCCTTCATTTCTGAGATTTCGTCTTTTCTTTTAGTTTCTTCCCTTAGTTTAGTGTCCGATTTTTAAATTTTTGATTCGTGGTATTTTT